TGCTGTTCCTTTAATTCCAACAAAATATTGAAGTCTTTCTAAAAGAATATTATGGTCAACTGTATCAAATGCAGCACCGAGATCCAACAGGACAAGCACAGATACTAGTCCATTATCTGAGGCCATGAGAATATCATTAGTGACTTGTCCTCTAAATGAACACAAAGGGTTTCTTGTCAGGTTTACGTTCAGGCTAACAGCTAACGCCTGACTGTTTTCTTTATACTGAAGGACAAAGTTGAAGTTAGTGAGCAGGGATTATGGACTTTAGTTGGTGTTGTAGTGTATGTCCTCACTGAGAACTCCTCTGTGGACCTTCTCTGCTCGCTGAGGCGTCTCTCTGTCTCCAGTTCCTCCTCTGCCTGGTGCATGGCATTGTGCAGCCACTGTTCGATGCCTGCGACACTGTGGGCCAGAAGAGTTAGGCGAGCCTCTGCTTTCACCCTGCTGAGCTGAGGAAGAGAAGCACACAGGCATGCTTGTTGAGAACATCAGGCTAAGTCACACATTGTGGGTGAGGCTGCCTATAGACACCCTGCAAGGTCCTAAAACCTGCAAATGATGCTCTCATCAAGTGCAGCATGTTGCAAACTTTAGAGCCGAGTGTTGACCTGAGATTATTGATAACAGAAAAAGTTCAGAGAGACGTAAAGGAGGACCAAAAGAACTCAGACTGATTGATACTTTGACTGGATCCATGTGAAACATGTCAACCTTTGCTTTTCTGACAGTCTCCTGAACCTCTGAGATCTTCTGCTCCACACTGAGCCCCGTCTCCCCTGACAGCAGCTTCAGGCGACTCTCCAGCATCTCTAGAGCCTGGCAAAGAAAATCAGACCAATCAGACTTGGAGCTGGAGTTTACCTCAAAACAGCCTCAGACATAAAACCAGGGGAGGCAGTCAGTTCCAGAAGAAAGAGTTCTGCCATGATTACTGTGGCTACAACAATCCAAACAGGGATCTGGGAAAGGGTCAAAAAGCAGATATTTTTCTGTGGTTGCTCCTGCAGTGCTCAGCTCACCCTTTCACCATGGGTGATGATCTTATAGTCCTTAGCAGCCTTAGTAGCCCATTTCTTGGCCTCCTTCACCAAACAGCTTTCTCCTTCAGGGCCTTGAATGTCCTGCAGGGCAGATACCTGTGTGTAGAAGAGGGACCATCATCTTTTCTTCCTGAGCTCCTGCAGAGGAACCACTGGCTGGAAGAATGACACACAGGAGCAGACACTGAAGTCATTCTTACACTCCTTCTACAAACACTATCCTCCCAGGTCTAGGGACCAATCTCCAGACCCAGAAATGAGCAGAGGCAGACAGGTAAAGGGGAGTAGGATTGGGCGTCACACAAATGCAGGCCAGGTCTGGCTCCAAACAGCATCTCAGACCCATCCCTGGCCGATCATTCACCCAGTCCAACTCACACATAACCACCATAGCTCTGACCAAGGGTTGTCCTTGTTGCCGTGACTACAGTAGACACACCTCCCTCATGATGTTAGCCAGGAACCAGAGAGTCCCTGGCAGGTGGTGGTGCCCGACCCAGGACTACAGAAAGCAGTCAATAGGTCACCTGATCTTCCAGGGTTGGTTTGTTTTTAGAATTCACTACGGTCATTTCGCTGACATTTAACTTTAATTCCTGAGCTTAAACAGCAATAAATAAATCGAAACACAAACCATGTCCTGCGGATCAGGCTGGAAGATGAAGTCAGATGTTTTTCTGAAGGAATCTGATTCCTGCAGAAGCTGCTGAACGTTCCTCTCTCTGGTCACCTGAAAAAAAAACAAGATATGAGCAACTAATGAAGCGTTGACTGATCGGATAAATCTCCACTGTGAGCTGCTGTCATGAAGCCTCGGATTAACTCTGCTTTATTGGCTTAGAGTTCAGGAAACACATGTGAATAAACTCCTCTGTGGAAAAACAAACAGCTTCAGAAATATTGCTCATGTGTTGAATTTCTCTCTGCAAACCTCCCTCCCTCTGACCAGTTCCTTATTCCCACAGGTTGCCTCTTTGGCCCCGCTCTCTCCTCTCTGTGGGCCTTTATGTTTTACCTTCTGCATGAAGATGAAGAATGCCTCATATCGGGTTTAAAGACGTAAGCGGCTGTTTTCTAACAAGTGGAACGGTTAGCAAGACATGCTACTATCCATGAATTGCCTTTTTTCCTAAGATGAAAACAACATTAAAAATCCTAACAGAAATGTATCTTAATTTAACTTTCATAATTTTTCTGATATTTTTTTCTATCACTGAAATCAGATTCTAAGGTAAATTTGATCCCAGAGATGATCTCTTTCTTTTAATCTGGGGATGTTCGGGGTGACCAGTAACTTCAAATTTGGGATTGCAGCTCCTGATGCTCCTTTCTTCACAAAGTCAAATGGAAAATCGTCATTGTTCTATGCAAAGTTTTCACTAAAATCCATGTTAAACTAATAATAAATAAACAGCACACAGTGGTTTATACATTAGATAGATACATGTGGGTAATAATAGAAATATCACTCATGCTTTGCCTTCACTTCAAATGCAGCATTAGTGTTCTTAATTTCCAAGGTCTGCAGCTCTGCAAATATTCGGGATGCCTCAACTTTCAACATCTGATCTGATCTAATTTGATCAAATCCAATATAATCTTATTTAGTTTTATCTAATCTAATCTTATCCAACCTAATCTGATGTAATCTAATCTGATATAATCTAATCCAGTCTAATCTGATGTAATCTAATCTGATATAATCTAATCCAGTCTAATCTGATGTAATCTAATCTGATATAATCTAATAGAATCTGATCGAATTCAATCTAATCTGATCTAATCTAATCCAGTCTAATCTGATGTAATCTTATTTTATCTAATCTAATCCGATGTGATCTAATCTTATCTAATCAGATGTGATTTAATCTAATCTAATATAATGTAATTAATTTGATCAAATCTAATCTGATCTGATCTAATCTAGTCTACTGTAAACGTATTTGATATAATCTAATCTAATCCAGTCTAATCCGATGTGATCTAATCTTATCTAATCAGATGTGATTTAATCTAATCTAATATAATGTAATTAATTTGATCAAATCTAATCTGATCTGATCTAATCTAGTCTACTGTAAACGTATTTGACCTAATCTAATCTAATCCAGTCTAATCTGATGTGATCTCATTTTATTTAATCTAATTTAATCTAATCTCACCATTTTCAGCGTCCTCCACTGGAACCAGTGCCTCCATCATGCAGCACAGTATCACGGCAGTATTTGAATGCTGCTGGTGTGAATGAATCACAGCTTGTGATCATTTCTGTGGTGAAACTCACCTGGTGACGACCGGGGAGGAAAAAGATTTCATCTGTGCTGAGTTCAGATTAACTACGGCTTAAAAGACCAATCCTATGGTATAGTCAAGGCTCCCAAATTCAAGCATATGTCAGTCTGAGGTCAGTCTATGATTAAAGTTTGAGTGAAATTAAATATTTTAAGGGAACCATGATGCAATCTGGCTTCAAAGCCACAACGCAGCCTCTGTGTTTCAAGTTTCCCCTGTTTTCAAGTTGTGCGTTCGCTGCGTCAGAGGGACAGCTCCTCTTCCTGTCAGGGTTAAATAGATCAAAACCTTGGTGTGGAAAGGGTTAGCGCCTGACCTTACCCTGGTTTCTATGGAGACATGGCGGCCATTGTTTACAGAAAGCAACAGGAGGAGGGCAGAGGCGGAGCCAATGAGAGCAGTAAGTAATTCTGATCCAACTAAACCAACTGAAGCATAAATAAGGTTTTATAGCACTGGTTGCCTCTTCAGTGTCTGTTTGTACTGACGTGTTCAGGATGGAGGGGTCTGACCCGTGGTCAGGAGCCTACAGACCTTAGCAACACAATCCCAGATCCTGCTGAACGGCTCGTGCGTCGCCAGACAGGCGTCCATCTCTGTCCCACACAGGCGGGCGAAGTGGTGCCTCAAATCATCGTAAACTTCCCCGTCCATTTGCTGGGGAGGAGGCCAGAGGAAGGAGCCGGGTTTCATTCATCGAACGTGAGAAGAGGGACGCTCATCTGCCCCGTGCTTCCTGGAACCAGGTGTGTCTCACCTGCATCAGGAGTGGAAGGTCGTGAGCGTGGTAATGCTGCTGATGTGCGTTGACCGCTGCCAGTGTCAGCAGATACTCATTCCGAGCTTCGTTCAAACGCTGCTCACACTCCTTCATCCTGGCATTGAGCTACACAGACATCAGCAAACAGTCACGCCTTTACCTTTTAATTATTCACTACAGGTGATTCTACAGCGAGATGAGTTTCCTACTTAACAGGGGTTTGATAATTCCCTTTAGATAAATGCTATTCTGGGTCTGTGGATTTTTTTGTGCTATTTTGGCCAAATTCAGAAAGAAAAAACACTAAATTTGATGAAAATCCAGAAGTCCAGAACTGTAACTGATTAATGAAAAGGCCACTGTTTCCATGGACCAGATAACCGTCTCTGATTGGTCAATCCAGACTCATACCTTCACTGTCATCTTATGAAGACCTGGTCTGAAGTGGAATATCCCATGTTCACTCTTTCTAGGTCTGCAAGATGGCAAAATTAAAAACATGTCACAAACAATCCTGAAACAACAGAATAATGACACTAATTATGTGAAATATTAGAAATGATAAAGGAACGCATCAGTCCGGAAGCTTAAAGGAGACGATAGTTTCAGCTACAGTTTCTGTGAGGAAACATCTCCAGTGGAAAAATATGGAGAAAAATATTCTACAATTTACTGACAGACGGTAAGACTGAGTAGATGAAACATCTGGATCACAAACATGAAAACAAAATCTAGCCTCCATGCCAGATAGACACATGAAGGGGCTACCATATATGGATGGTGAGGAGCTGCTGAGCAACGCTGCATGCTAGAAACAAAACACAGCCTTCCTGAAAGGTTCTCCTCAAAGGAAGGTCTACAAAGACATGATCTGACCAAGAAAACATGAATAACTTCCAGGATAGAAAATCAAAAAAGCAATGAAAGGAGAAGGGATGTGAAAAAAAAATGTGAAGAAAAAAAAAACAGCAGAAAAATATAAAACAATGGAAAAGATGAATCCAGATCCTGAGGCTGAGGTACAGCCTTCCAGGTAAATCTGTTTCCGCTGCTTCCACTTCTTCTATCATTTCCACCCATCCAGCTGGCTATCCCACCCAGAGGCCTATTTAGGAAATGTGGGGCC